AATTATTCTCTAGCTTCCTGTTGATCCATGCATAAATTATTTTATCAACAAGATTAAGAACCCCCCAAAAGACCCTCAATTACCCCAGTAACATGCTCTCTGGGATGGCTCAAATTTCCCAGCAATAGAAATTTCAGGATATCAATCAACTTTGAAAAACACTGAAGATGCTTTCTCTACATCTTATAGTTTCATGTATTTCAGCCAAAATTTTACTCACTATGTAAAAATAATTAGACAAAATTGGTTTTGTTTCTAATATGTGATAAAAACCATATGTTTTAGATTTTTTTGTTTGTTTTCTGTTTTTTCTTTTCTTTCTGAATCAGAGTTTTTAATGTAGAGCCGGCTGCTATGAAAATCACTAGTAGACCATGCTGGCCTTGAACTCACAGAGATCCACCTATCTCTGCCTCCTAACTGCTAGGATTCAAGGTGTGAGCTGCCATATCTTATAAAATCATATGTATATCCAATAACTGAATGCAAGCTTTTGGTTTACTATCAATAAATTAATTTCTTTTCTTACTTTAAATATGTCTACACTCAGGGTTGTGTTAAAAACCTTTTGGAGTGGAAAAGATTGAATGGAAGAAATTTAAGAAGTTGTACTCATCTAGACTAGAACCAGGAAAATATACACATGAAATCACAAGGGGAGATTTTGTTGGATTGGCTTATATAAGTCACACCTCAGTGGTCTGACAATGTTAGGCTGCCCATTGCAGAGGCAGACAACTTGGGAGCTATTGAGTTCAAGAACAAGGGCTGAAGGCCTGGAAGCAAGCTGAGAAATTTGTGGTGTGAGTCCACACGGAAAGGCTGAAGAACCAGAGTCTGATGTCCATAGGAGAGAGCAGCAATTATAAACCATTTGTGTGCTTGGATGATCAGGGCCAACTGGAGCACCAGAAAGGGAGTCTCTTATAACTTGAGGTCTAGTAAAACTAGCAAGCTAATTCTAGAAACTACAAAGTCAATTAAGTAAATTTATTTTTAAGCTCTGTTTCCGTAGAGCCACTTTTCATACCCAAATCAGTGTTAGTCAGTTTTATTCTCACTGTGACCTGGATAACCACAATGTAAAGGAGGAAAGATCCATTTTGCTCGTGGTCCATGATGGCTTCATGCTCTTGAAAATATCAGCATGGAGGGCATGTCTTAGTCACTGTTCTGCTGCTGTGAAGGGATACCATGACCAAGGCAATTCTTATTTAAAACAAACAAACAAAGGCTTTTGAGGGCCTGCTTACAGTTGCAGGCTGTTAGTCCATTATCACCATGGTGGGGGCATGGCTGCAGCATGGCACTGGAGCAGTAGCTGAAAGCTAAATCCTGATCTGCAGGCAGAGAGAAAGAGAGAGAGAGGGAAAGGGAGAGAGACACTGGGCCTGACATGGGCTTTTGAAACCTCAAAGGCCACCCACACCCTGTGACAAATCCTCCAACAAGGCCACCTCTCGTAATTGTTCCTGGATCTCATCAGCTAGGGACTAAGCATGCAAATAGATAAGGCCAGCCTCACTCAAACTACCACAGCATGAAAACCTTACGGGTACACACGCCTCGGTGGTAACTAATGGCTCGCTAACTGGACTTCAGAGCTGCTCAACAAGAGGGAAATGATGCCTGGTAATGGTAACTCCCCATGCCTGGTAACTTAGGGCTTGTGAAGTCATGGGCTCTGAGGAAGAGCCTTTAACCACCACTTTACTAAGTCAGCCAACTGTATCCTAAATATTTGCTCTTATAGACCTGCAGATGAAATGTAGTCCGCACCCTCTCCCCTCATCAAGGAAGCTTCTCTGTGCAACAGATGGAGACCATTTTACAGAAAATCACAACCAATCAAAACGCAGGGTCACGGAGCCCAGTCCCACAGAATATAACAAAACCCTCCTGTACCTAACAGTCAGGAACACTGTAGAAGAGTGGCAGAAAGACTGCAAGAGCCAGAGGCTCAGGGAGTCAGATGTGAGATTGTGTCTGCTATAATGTCAGAAGGTAGACCCATAAAGTCTCATCAGCGTGCTTGCCTAAACATGATCTGAACAATGCCAACGGCAGTAACACGCTGAAGTGGTTGGGGTTAACCCACAGCCTTGACCCTACACAAAGAACTACAGTCAACTAAGGAATCCTGAGAGGGAGAGAAATGGCCTTCCTCAGGGAAGCGCCCACCAACTGATTACCCAACACCAAATGGCCAGCCCTGAAAACACACATAGGAGTAGCATTAAACAGTCTCAGGGGGCTGTATTTAGGATATATATGTTGTACGTATAAGCATGTGCCAACAGGGATGGAGGCCATGCACTTGAAAGAGAGCAGGGAACTCCTCCTCCTTTAGGGGAGGGCATGGAGGGAGGAAACGGAAGGGAGGAAATGATACAGTTTATTATAATCTCAAAAATAAAAGAAGTAATAAAAAAGATCACTATGGAAGTGAAAAACAGCGTGACAGAGAAGGTTCTTAACTTCACAGTGGTCAGAAAGGAAGGTGGGAGGGAGGGAGAGGGAGACAAAGACAGAGACACAACCCCAGAGTGACCCAGCTCTTCCATGGAGGCCCCAACTCCTAAAGTTTCCAACATCACTCAAGACAAAATCAACCAGTGGTTGGGGACCAAGTGTTTGGCACAGGAGTTAGAGGGGGATATTTCACACTTAGACTGTAACACAGATCCTGTAGCCACAGTAGAGCACAGCCAAGCAGTTCTTCTGAAGTCTGATTTCCGGGGTTCGAAATTCTTGCTCATTCTGGTTGCCGTTAGCTTCAATGCCTTTTGCCAGGACAGAGGAGCAAAGCAGTTCCTATCTGAATGGGCTTTAAGAAAGGCTGCTCGAGATATTGTAGAGCTCATATTGTGTGCAGTTCTTAAGAAGTACATTAGTTTTGATCCTAACCATCCTAGTTATAATTTTATGAAAGGCCCTTCCATGGTTTTGACATCTTGAGACCATGGCCCTTTGTGTGGTGCTGTAGTCTGAATCTAGATGGCTCCCCAAGGCTCCTGTGTTGAAGGCTTGGTCTTCTGAGCAGAGATGGGGCCTCTGAGAAGTGATGGGAATCTCAGGCTCCAACTTTGTTAAAGAATTAATCTGTTAAAGGGGCTCATGGCTGACTTGGGGCCTGAGAAAACTACAGGAGATGAGGTCTGCCTGGGGGAGCTCAGGGCACATGGCGCTGGGCGTGTTGAATTGTTAGATCCTTGCTTTCTCAATCTCTACTCCTGGGGCAGATTTGTTTCACCTGGTGAACTTTGCTGAAAGTTCAGAAACAGTGAGACGAGTGATCATGAACAGGAGCTTCCGGACCTGTGAACTAAAAGAAATCTTTTTGCAACAGTGACAAAATCCACATGTATTTATTGCCTTCAATAACCTATTCAGCCCTGAAGTCCCAAGAACCATCTTTCAACTCTGTCTGTCTGTCTGTCTCTCCCCAGCTTTTTCTTTGTAGCCCTGGCTGTCCTAGAACTTTCTCTGTAGACCAGGGTGGCCTCGAACTTAAAGCTCTGTCTGCCTCTGCCTCTGGAGTGATGGGATTAAAGTCGTGTGCCATCACACCGGGGAACAGTTCTCTTTCTGTAAACAGTGTACCTCTTCTCTGTTTCTGTCATTCTCTCTTCTTGATGTTCATGCCTGTGTGTGAGCACGTAGAAGCTGGCGGGAAGTCTTGGGTGTCCTGATTTATTACTCTGAGCCTTTGAGAAAGGGTGTCTTGCTGAACCTGGAGCTTGCCTTTTTGTCCTGGATAGGCAGGCTGTCCAGCACCCCCCCCCCCCCCCCGGTCTTCATTGCCAACCTCAGCCCTGGGTTTATAGCTGCAGCAGGCCATGCTTGGGCTCTGTGTTTCTTCTATTGAGTGTATTTACTTTTTTCTTTCTTTCTTTCACCTAAACATGCACATTTAAAATTTTTTTCTTTCCATGTGTGGTGGGATCAGGCCTTTGGTTCAAGCACTCGGGAGCCAGTGGCAGGTAGGTCTCTATGAGTTCTGTCTACATATTCATGCACATACATGCACATATATATATTAGCATAGATACATAGTGAGATCCTGTCTCAAAAACAAACCAAAAGTTGGGTCTGGCCTATAGCCCTGCTACTGTTAGCCTCATATCCCTCCCTCTTTTGTATAGATAATAAATTTTAAAATTCTCTTAGGTTCTAGAAAAACAGAAGAAAACTCCTTGGAGTGGGCTGTACCTTTATAGGCTTGTTTTGTTTTTCTTTTTATACTGTTTATCATGGTATAATTTCATCTTTTGGTTGTTTTTATTTTACTTTTTTTTTTTTTTTTTTTTTTGCTTGTTTTAGTTTTTTGAGACATGGCCTCATGCTGTAGCCCAGGCTGGCTTGCAGCCCACTATCCCAGGATATACACGTCTTTAAAGTCGTCCTTCCTGCACATAGCACACGGAAGATGCCTAGCAGTTACCAAGGCAATGAATACAATGATCAAAAGCTCAGTCTTCATTTCTCTTTGATATACTTCTTCTCTCTTGGGTCTTTAACCAAAACTGTGTTTTGTCTAGAATTTTATTTTGGCTGTTAGATGTGCATTAACGTTAAGAGCTTTGGTCGTTCTCCACTTGTGAAGACAATCTTTAACATTTCTTCCTGACTCGAACTGGGTCACAGACTGTCTAGAGCCACACCCTCATCATTGCAGTGGCTTATTCCACAATTCTTTTTCTCTTCCGACCCCACCCCCGCCCAGCCCCCGACACTGCTGCAACAGGCAGGAGGGGAATTCACAGGGCCCCTCCTCTTGTTATGCCCTCTGCAGAAGCTTGGGTTATGGGTGCCTGGGACAGCACTCAGGGTTTATGGTCCATGCTGGAGTTAAAAATAGCCCACTCCTGTCTCCAAGTCCACTACAAGTGGGTGTTGCTGGAGATAAGGTCGGAGGTGTGGCCGGGAGAAGCGCAGTTCTGCGGAACTGCTAAGCAGCTGAGGGCCTTGGCATCAGTTACTTCCAGTCATAAGCTGCAGCACCGATTGTCTAGAATAACTTAGTTCACGCCGTCTCTATGAATTCCTCCAGCAGCTTCTCACAGGATGGAAATATGGAGCAGCGGTCACCTGTTGCTGTTGCTTGCGTGTCTAATGTATGCTGTGAGTTATCCCCAACCTGCCTTCTATGCAATTTTAAAATGAAGAAACTGCATGTAAGAGTGGTTAAATAATGTGCTCAGATTCCCCAGAACAGTGAATCGTGAGGTCTGGTGTCCAGACACACCCCTTTTTGATTGTTGGGATTTTTGCCACTCCACTCTTTAGCTTAAATGTCTGAAGCAATATTGTTCTGTATCAGAGTGGCTGGTTTCAGAAATGACTTTTCATATCTGTTATAGTATTCCTCACCTGGAAGGTAGTATCAATATATTCTTTCATCATTAAAAAAAGCAAAAAACAAAAACCCCACAAAACTACTTCATACCTCTTTCCACCTTTGGGGGAAGTGGTTTTCCTTGAAGATACTGTATCTGTTAAGTACATACTGTTTCCATTAGGAAGCAATCTTCCCAGGGCTAGAAACAGCTTCTTCTAAGACCAGATTACTTAATTTAAGATCATCATCTCCCGTTGCAGCCATGTCCTCCTCCTTCCACGTCTTTTTCTGCTCCCTCCACCCACCAGGATGTCCAGCACCCTCTTGTGTTGCTTTCAACTGCTTGTAACTCTAGCTCTAGGGAATCCAATATCCTCTTCTGGCCTCAACAGGCACTTTCCTCATTCACACACAGGCACACTGACACACACACACACACACACACACACAAGTTTAAAATAAAAATTTTAAAACATTTTGGGAAAATAAGCGAATTAAAGAAAAATAATTGCAGTGTACGATGTTATAGCCTGGCATGGTGGGAGCACACACCTTTAATCCTAGCACGTAGGGGACAAAGGCAGGCAGATCGCTGAGGTTGAGAGCAGCCTGGCTTACACAGCAAGTTCCCCACTAGCCAGGTTACACAGGGAAACTCTCTCACAGTAAGAAAAAAAAAAGTATTGAATATGGTATAATAAGATGAACAAGGGAAAACCTTATCATTTAAAAAGTCTACCCAGAAATCCAATGAATAAGAAGTGTGCTCCTGTGGTTGGTTATTTATATTTACTATTGATTTATCTTTTAGTTAAGCAGCAGGTATTCCTAGACCAGCTGTCTACCCAAATCACCACACAGAAACTGAGATTTATCTAATTAACCTAGAGCACAATGCTGGGCAATAGTTATTCCATCCTAAACCTCCAAGCCCACATAATTTCAGATTTCATCCATTATACTTGCTTTTAGTCACATCTTAGGTCTGGTCCATTTCTCCACGTGGTTCCAAGACCTCTCCTCCAAATTCTCTGCTCTCCTCCCTCTTCTCTCTCCCACCCGGACCAGGATGTCCCCACCCTATCCTTTCCATTGCTTTAGTCAATGGCTTTCCTGGTATCAATAACTTGAGAATAGTTTTCCTGAACGAATGTAATTATTTTGAAAGGCAGGGTTTCTCTGTGCAGCCCTGGCTGTCTTGGAACTTGCTCTGTAGTCCAGGCTGGCCTGGAACTCAGACATCCTCTGCCCTCTGAGTGCTGGGATTAAAGGTGTGTGCCACCACCGCCCTGGCTATGGATGAATGTATATATTAGTGTATGATGGGGTAGAAAAGAATGAATGGGAAAGGAAGGATACGGAGGTGGGTATTGGGGTATTAATAAAATTCCATCTTGGCTTTTAGAGTCTTGGGGAGAGGAGTTGTAGAGCAGAGCTTTTCTCTTGTAAGAACTGGGGTTTTATGAGAACGGCTAAGTCATTGCTCCTTAAGAGCAGGGAATGTCAAACACCTGGCATAGAGCTGAGCCTGGGGCTTGGAGAGGAGCTTTGTCTTGGCACCAGAGGTTGGAAAGCGGTATCACACCTTCAGTCTATCCACTAGTTTCCCCACAGCTGGAACAGTTCCCTGGAACATACTGTGTGTCATCCCAAGTCTTACTAAAGAACCAGGTGGCCTCCATCTTGGGCTTGAAAGCCATCTCATAATAAAGACAAACTAGGTGCATGCCTGTTTATGATTAAGTCTGTTTCTCAAGGATTGGGCTATGGCCCACCCTGCAATCTTCACTATATGGTTCTATATTGCCTGTTCCAGGAATGGCAACCATGTCCTTGTTTCAAAAAGTTGTTGTAATCATCTTGCAACCCTACCTTTGCTTCATGGGTCATTATGACTTCCTGTTACATTCTGCCCACGTAACTCTGCCTATTTGCTCACCAAATACCCTATTTGGAAACCCCCTACCCTTGAGCTATAAAAACCTTGTCTTCCCACGTGCAATGCTAACCTCTTGCCTTAGGGGAAGTAGCTGGCGTACAGGAGTAAAAAAGCTTTACTTAGTTTAGCCATGATGATTTGAGTCAATGTTCTTTCTTTGGGATTAATATTGCCTCTGTCTGATTGACTTCTTTTATTTACTTTTGCAGTGCTGGTGGTAGAACTCAGAGGCTGCACGGATAAGGTCCACTTTCTGCCATCAGCTACAGTGCCAGCTCAGCTTGGCTAATACGGAATTCAGTTTAAGGATCTTTTAAAAAGACTTTTGTGGTTTTTACCTCCATAAAGAATTTTGTTGTTGTTGTTTTATTTTGTTTGTTTTTTGGTGTTTGGAGACAGGGTTTGTCTGTGTAGCCTTGGCTGTCCTGGGTTAGCTTTATAAACCAGGCTGGCCTTGAACTCACGGAGATCCATCTGCCTCTACCTGGGATTACAGGTGTGCACCACCTTGCAAAGCTCACCTGAACTTCTTTATAGAAGTCTGGTGTACTCCGATCAATGAAGACTGATTTTCTGCACGAATTTTAGACTTTCTGCAGAGGATCTAGGGATAGCAATCTGTGGCTGTTATTATTGGCATCTTGAGACCAGTACAGAAGTGTTAGCAAACTTTTCAGTTAGACTGTATGGTAAAGCAGGATGATAAAAGCTCAGCTCACTGCAGACACGCTGTCTCAGATCTCTGTGTCCTTGGCTTGGTTTGTGAGAATCCCAGCAGATGACTGCATGTGGCCTTTCCATATTTCAGTGCCAGTTTGCTACCCAGAGGAAAAGCTTCAGAGCTCAACTTGTTAAGAAGCCCACTTTCAGCACAGCATTTCAGGCAGGATCAAGCCCACTGGACAGGACTGCACAGGACAGCTTTCCCTAAGAGCGGCTGGGGCTGGGGCCGCCCAGATGTTATTTTTTTTTTACACTGGCTTTTCTTTTTTTTTTGTACTTGTGAAAGACAAGGCGTGTATCTTCCCATCAAAAGCAAAACAAAAGCACCCAATGGTTAAAACAAAACAAAACAAAACAAAACAAAACAACAGTCTTGTAAATCCTCTGAGCAGACTGCTCCATTTCCTTTGCTTAAGCTCATTTCCTGCCAGGCAGCCCCTTGCCTCGGAGCCCGGTTATTACAGTTTACCCTGACCCTGCTTGTTGACACTTCTTTGGGAAGTAGGATTTTAGGTTTTTCCCAGCTACGCATTCTTTGATGAGATTTCACTTCACATGAAATTAAAATCTTTGCCATGCTTTTTCTCTTTCAATCAGTTGTTTGAGCGTATATCTTAGCCCCTTGGAAAGTTCATCCCAAGTGTCCTCTAAGCTCCTCCCCACCCCCATGCCATCATCCCTCCAGTTTAGACCAAAATGCGTGCGATCACTACAAACAAAACAAACCAAAAACCCCACCACACACAGGCAGGCCGGAGCTCTGGCTTCTTTCCAGGATTCCATTAGCCAGACAATGCCAGGCCGGCCTGGAAGTGCCGGGGGAGGAAGCCCATCTGCGTCTGCTTGGGTGTGGGACAGAGCTAGGTCAGCAGCAGGTTGAGGCCAGGAATGGGTTAGAGGGATTGTTTTACACATGAAGTAGGTGAGGTGAGTCTCTGCCAAGACCTGTCTGTATCACGTGCACATTAGGAATAAATCCAGCTAAGCAGTATGTTTTTAAAATGCACTTTATGGGTTTATAATTATTATCCCTTTTCTGCTTTAGGATACTTCAAGTAAAACTGTGGCCAATGTAGGATAATACAGCAGTGGAACAGGCCGAACAGCCTGAAAATGGAGTTCTTTTAGTTATTTTTTTCCTGTTTATTTCCAAAGGACTTTCCAGTATCCTTGGGCTTATAGAGACTAATCGTATCACAAAGGGGAATGTAAGGCTTAGCATTTTATCGTATTACAAAGGCAATTGCTGTCTGCCTGCCTTGGGTCTGAGAATTCTTAGTCTCTCAGTGGTTTTTCTTTGATTCTTAACGAATGTGAAGGGATCGTAGTCTGATAAATACAGAAAGTTTCCTCTGCAGGGGACTTTTAATTTAAAACAGTAAACACGTGGAGAGGTTTTCACTGGCTCAGTACTGCAGCATCTGTTTCCATTACTCTTCCAAACATCCCTGTCAGCTCCCAGTGTCCACTCAGGAGGGTGGGCACCTTGGTTTTGGAGATTGTTGCCTTTACAGTGTCCACTCAGAGGGAAGGGAGAGAGAAAGCCTGCTTGCTGAGACACAACTTTTCATTGTGCTAGGGCTTTCTCGTCAGTACTTCACCCCAAGGCAGCCCTCTCAGCACCCTGGACACCTCTCCACCTGTCACTTACAGCTTACAGAAGAGTAAACTAGGGTTTAGATGAGACCTACCATTCCTTTCACCTATCAACCATCACCCCCACCCCCAGCTATAACAGTCTAAAGTTGTAGGTTTAACGGGGCATGGATTCTGTAGCTAGGTCTAGGACGTCTATCCACCTTATATCTCTGAGCATGATCTCTCCACATCTATTGTTAAGGTAGTTATTTCAATCCAGTCGTAGGAAAATACTGAGATAAGAAGACACCAACAGCCTAAGCGGTTAACAGGCAGCCAGTTAGGTAATGAGCTTGGTTGTCCGTCATCAGACAAAAAAAAAAAAAAAAAAAACCAAAACCCTGTAAATATGTTATTACATATAATATATAATTATATAAATACATTATGTATAAGTAATTGTATATATGTTATAGAATAAAAAAAAGAGGAAGGTTCTATCATTCTCAAAAACATGAGAATCTCTGATGCTAAGTGAAATGAGCCGGCCAGAGAAAAACAAATGTCGTCACGTGTTCTTACTCTCTCACAAAAGCAAAGACTGATTGGTGGTTAATGTGACTGGTGAAAACATCCAACATTTCAGTTAAGCAAGAGAAAAGAATTATGAGCATTTGAGGTGATGGCTGTGCTCATGGGATCCGGTCAGTTATTTTAATTTGTATACACATTTCACTTTGGATCCCATAAATACATACATTACTACTTGTCAATGTTCAATAAACTAAAAAAGCATTTAGGTTTTTCTTTGGCTTCTCAGGTGAGGGTTTAGAAGAAAGGGCTCATATCCCTCCAGGCAGATGGGAGAGTGTGGCAAAGGGGCCCATGGTTCCCACCCTCGTACCCCTAGCACCAGGCTGGCAAAACAGGGTCCAACCTTTCAGGATGCTTTTGTTTTTGCAGAAGCCTTGTTCTCCTTTTTTTCGGAACTACTAATTCTTTTCCATCACCCTGCTTATTTTTCTGACTTCAGTGCTCAGAGGAAAGTAGAGCCTGGTGGCTTCTAGAGGTGAGAGCAAAGGAAAGATCAGATCTAGGCAGGCTGGCCCGGAGCTGGCGTGTATCAGCGACGTGTGTCACCGTCCAGTATGTCACCCAAGAACACCCATTTAGTCATCTGAACTTGATCATGCAGGGTGAGGTCAGTGCTGGGACAGCCCAGGAACACCTCACATCCCAGACAAGGTAGACAGTGCCTTCTGTAAGCAAACCGGGAAACAGGGACCACAGGGGAAAGGGAAAACAAATATTTTCTGCTGTGTTCGGCCCCCAGGAAGGAGAAAAGAGGACAGTGCTCTGCTGTCAGCTGCTGAAGGAAGTACACTGTATGAACAGCCCCAGCACAAGATGACGACTTTCCCCTTTGCCTTATTTCCTATTTCTTTTCTTTCCTGTACTGCATTCTGAATTCAGATATATTGGCAATTCTAATTTTCTAGTTTGAATTTCAAGAGACACAATAATCCTACTTGGGTTTACATTTAAAAAAAAAAAAAACAAAAACACCCATAAAGTAGTGAATGAAAAAGAAATGTTTTTTTTTATCCCTTACTTAAAACATATTTTTAAAATTTTTTATCAAAGGATGGCAGGCTCTCCTGCCACACCCAGGAAGTCTCTTAAAAAATACTGCTGCCACTGCAGTGTCACGCTTGGACCAGGGAAGAAAGTCAACACACTGTGGGTATGTGGAGCCTTGTATTTTGTGGAAAAGAGATATTTTGTTTGAGTGCAAGGTCAAGCAAGATATTACAAAATGCATACAAATGAATGTACCAATGTAAACATTTCCAAAATTACTGTTGCCTTAGCATCTGACTTACTCAACCTAGAACTCTTCTGAGACATTTTGGCTTCTACAAGACTGTGTGGGGACGTTTATAATGCTCATCTTAGTGAAGGAAGAAAGCTATTCAAGTCTGAATAACCTTTCAAAGTCCAGCATGATGAAGCATTTACTGTGATTATATTTTAAAACAAATGCAGATTTTTTAAAAAAAAAAAAAGAATCTCCAAATTCACTTTAGTTACCAGTTCTAGGCAGGTTTTTAAAAAGAGTGTTGAATTCATCAAAGGAAAAAAACTTTAACAGTTTGTTATTACCTAAATATTATTTCTGTTTTAAGGGGGGAAAGGTCAGGGAGTGTAGGTTAGTGGTAGAGTATCCAAACTAGGCCCCGGGTTCAATCTTTAGCACCAGAAAATACAACAGAGTCCGTGCATACTGTTTGGATATTTCCCAGCTGGTCAGAGCTTCCTAAGAACTTATTTTAATTTTAATTGTGTGTGTGTGTGTGTGTGTGTGTGTGTGTGTGTCTACGTCTATGTGAGTGCAGTGTCCTTGGAGACCAGTAGAAGGCACAGGTGTCCTGAAGGTGTGAACTCCCCTGACATGGATGCTGAGGACTGAACTCCTCCGCATGATTTCAGTCCTCTGCACAAGCAACAGGCACTCTAGACCAGAGGTATCTTCTCAGTCTCCTAGGTGTTATTTTTAATCTGATTTTCCTTCCGTCTAAATATGGTGGTGGTGGCGCACATTGTCTTGGGTTTTGTTGTTGCTGTTAATGTAACACAAGGTTACATCTGGGAAGAGAAGCCATTACTGAGAAAATGCCTCCATCAGATTGCCTTTAGGCAGACCTGGGTAAGGCATTTTCTTGATTAACGAAAACTAGTCACACCTCAGCTTCTGTGGGTGGTGCCATCCCTAAGCCTGAGGTGATAGTGAGTATAAGAAAGTAGGCTGAGCTGGTCATGGGGAGCAAGACAGTAAGCAACATTCCTCCATGGTTCCTGTTTCAGTTCCTGCCTCTTGATCACTGCCTTGAGCTCCTGCCTGACTTCCCTCAGTGAGGGAACTGGAAGTACACAGTGAAACAAGCCTTTTCTTTAAGTTTTGGTCATGGTTTCTATCACAGCAGTAAAAGTCCACCTAAGGCATAGTGTAATTGCTGCCTATAGTTATTCAAAACAGAAATAATTTTCAGAGAGAGCATGACTTCT